GGCTTCACAATAACAACCAAGCACATAGACTACGTATGTAAAAACAGTATTCGGTGCCGAAAACCATATTTCAACCGACAGTTCAGAGAAGTGTCTTCATAAATCTGAGTGCAGCAATGATATCAAATGAAAATTTCGCCGAATTACCGTTGTTCACGTCTTTCTAAATCCCATCCCAAGATTTCTGTGCATTACAACTTGCTGCTTGAATGGCCCAGTGAACAGGTTGGCTGGTTGTCGTTATGTTATCTAGGCTGAGCAATTTGGCCGTCAACGTTCCATCACAAAACTCAGACGACATAATCAGTGCGTGATGAGTTGGCGTCGGTGTGCAGGCATTAATTTTGACAAGTGGTCCGTATCAGTTAGCAAACACATGGCAAGGTTCCTTTCAATGAGATTTAGCCAAAAGCCACAGGTTCGGTTGATCACCCTTTTGAATTAAGCGCCCGGGGGCGACAAGCGATTGGCTGTTCGATCCTTGGGCGAGTTACCGTAATTTGCGGTCTCAATGACTTCGGAATATGTTCGCCAATTTGTTGACGTAGACACCCTCCGGTTCTGCCTACATAAACGTCACCGCAGCTGCAGGTTAAATCGTACAATACTTACAGACAGAGCCGTCCGTTGTTCTTGCACGCTGGTTCTTCAGGTCTTTGGAAGGAGGCACAGTCCAGTCACCAGATACATACGCTGTCAACAGTCTCCAATTTCTAATGGGTATCACTAGTCAAGTGATCGTTCCCACGGTGGTTGACCTTGGCACACTGTTCTGCGTACTCATTTACAAGCGGACATGTAGTGATATTCAAACTGCACGCGCCCGGGTGCGCACACCAGTATGACGCATTACTTTTCATACAAGGATGCAGGTGACTAAGTGGCTTCATAATTTGTCTCCATCTGATACACTTACTACTACAAAACTAAATAGACAGTTTCGCGAACAATACCTAGGAACATAGGAGCTGTGGATACAAAGAATTCCACCTTTCGTATAAGAACTCGTGATTTGGCAACCACTGCTACCTCTTGGAGATGCCACAGATGCTATTTATAGACGAAAGCCGCTTCGCCCCCTGCTTCTACCGTCGCGCAAGCGACCTTCACAGAAAAGGCATGGTCGACTACGTCTTCAACATCCAAGGTGTCGAAACAAAATCAAGAGTTTGTTTATCAAAAAGACCAATCTTACCGCAGAGATTAAAGGCATGAGGAAAAACGGCTGACTGAGATTTCATCCTGGGCCTAATCCATTCCCATCAACCATCGCAAAGGTACCACTTCACATCGCTGGTAGGGCCTACTCTGTAAATACATTAAAGTTTGTTCACACTGAGGAAGTTCCTACGACATAGCATCAGTCCCTTTAATGAGGAAGATAAACTATTTGCGCATGTTCGTGATGTCCGCAGCCCAAGATTCCTTACATTTTCCGGACAACGCCTCGGTAAGAAAATACGGGAACCGAGGTCAGTGTGGTTAGATGACCAATCTGTCAACTCTGTCGCACTGAAAGCCACGGATGGTACACGAATCCGCTTCGCTGGTTGTAGGCTCCTATACATCAGTTTGTGACTTCGCCCTGCATATTTTGAGTTTCTCATCACCCCGAAATTTCATTCACTAGTATGAGACGAGATCTGCTGCGGCAATCTCAGCTGCGCCCAGTATTTCCCTCAGATGACTGCCTGTCAAACCTGCCAGCACTTAGGACGTCCGATTAGGTGCTTCTTCTTGGAATCAGTCATCCATTAGCAACACTTCGGATGTCGCTGTTCCATACAACGCTTCAAAAGAACCCAGGCCACTGGCTCCCCTGCTTCGATAACCGCACACTGAATAATACCACGACTCAGAATAGCTGCTCGATGCGAAACAGGCTTTCAGAGGTGTGCATAACTGATCGGTTTTGGATATTTCAAAAGATTTAGGTCACTGAGACAGATATTCCCGAGACCCCAGTTGAAAGTTCCTCCCCATGCCTTTTGGTCTGAACAACCCCGTGAATTGTGATAGTACATACCTTGCCACGTGGTCACCGAGGTACTACAGCTCTATCTTACCGGCTGTCTCGTACGATCTAAGGTGAGGAAGATATTACAAAATGATTATGGGTCAGTCTGTAATGCCAGCACCCTACAGTGCACCATCATACTAGGTGCATTCTGGGACAGTTTGCGACACCTGGTGCATTCTCGCACCTAGTTGGTATCTGGCCAACACCAGAAGGTGCCGTCTGTCTTTTGAACCACACTAACTGCTTTTCCAGCTGGCTGAAGAACACTCCACTATCGGATTGTTCCTCCAAGATTGTCGCACGAGCATCCGCAGAACACAGGTCCTACTGTCCTGCCGTTGTAACTACGGTTGACCGCTCGCACCTCGAATGTGCTCTTGCTAACGTATTGAATACTCAGAGTTTCAGTAACATTGGCCAGTCTATCACTCGGTAGCAAACCATCAGTCAAGCTTTCCACATTAAGTGTGAGTAGGCACTTTGCGCATAGGAACCTTTCATGATCGCCTGGGTGTTTCATTTGCCCTAACAAGTCTCCCAGACTGTGAAACCTGGTGTAGACATTTTCCCCGTAAGGTTTTGTATGAGTACTGCCTTCGTCTCCAGGGTGAGACAAAAGTGCATTGGCCCGACTAGTCGTTTTATGACAACTAAATTGACCGGCTGTGCGACCACGCGCGGTAGCTAAAACCGCTACGAACTTGGACACAACATGGTTCTGTGTAGTGGCCTAACAAGTTGCATACCAGCTCCACACTTGAGAACAGATTGGGATACGAAACCAACCCAGATTCTGCATATAGGACCAAAACTCGTTCTTAGATATTCAGAAGAGACGTTCGTCCCTAACGGAAACGGCAAACACGGGTTAACCCCTGTGTTATTGGTGTTAAATTCAAAATAGTTCGAAAATGTCCCCATATCCGTGTCACCCCAGTCACCAAACTCGTTGTCTGGGGGCTCTATTCCATCGAGCCTATGGCTTCTCGAACCCTCAACTCGCCGTAATCAACTGACACGGTCACAAAGTTCGACAACCTATGCTATTCATGCGTATCGGCCCACGTTAATGTTATCTATTTAATCAATCAGCGTTTCTCTCTGTGCTCAGTATCAAAAAATGGGCGTCATTTTCGTCCTGTGGTCTTGGAAATTCGCCATATCAGTGTTACGACTGCTCTTCATCCCGAGGTTTCTTCTCCACATATGGTAGCCACTGCATTTACATTATGTGAAAGCCCACTTGTCAGACCCTCACCTCTGCCACCTGGCTTAATGCACAGCACTTCAGCCAGTTGATACCACAACACACACTAAGTGCAGACATCATGTAGCTTACTGTCAATCATTCATTGCGTCGGGAGGTAATGTACGAAACGCCACATGGCAGAAATACAAGTGTCATCAGTTTACTTCCCTGCTTTCAACTTATTAGCTCTCACTTGACGATTTCATCGCCCGTGATTTGTACGACTAAATATAAGCTTCCTCATCATTCGCCCGTTTTAAGGTGTACTCTTGCACATCATCCATGGCGCTAGGAAATTAACACAGTTTAGCATGATACGTCCACAACTCACCGACTAGCACCGATCTTTGCTGACCGGAGGGTCTTATCTAATCACACCCTTCTGAGGGCTGTCCCCTACTCGTAACACAGATGACCGGGTAGGCCGACGCTATCATGGACCAGAGAATCTCGTTATCGAATCCTTAATCGCTTCGATAATTTAAACCTGTTTTCCGTCTTAAGCAGGCCCACTGAATAGAATCGGTGGGCATGTAGAGGGACAAATGGCCCCGGATCCGCATTCACGATAGTACGGCTCAGTCCGCTGAGTTTCTCCGACTCCTATGTAACCGCAAGTGGACGTTGCGGCCTTAACAACTGTTGAACCCGAAAAATGCTGACACCACAAGAGCCGATGTTTCATGATTCAGCTATGGTGAGCAGAAGACTCCTTAATGCCACTTAACTGGAGTCCTTCACTTTTCTTTCGCTTATAATAGCATCCCAGCCTTTCTTAAGACATACATTTGTACTCCACGTCTTGGACTCATGTGGCCAACGAGAAAACTCAGAAGCTGAAAGTTCCTTACTAACAAATGGTGCATCCGAAATATTGGTTCCTTAAGCCATACAGGCGATTCTTCCACTGAAATCGTACGGCCGACAGGAAGTATTGCGTCATCGAGCGTTCCTGGCCAGCTTACATTCAGTCGGCCATCACGTTATACCGCTTTACCGCAGGCCTAGTAGCGAGTCCTCCTTGTGTAATTATCTTTATCTTCAACGCCCGTAGATCCATTTTGCCTTTCTTACATGGGTGATGCGCACCATGTGGTTTTCTACTGGTCTTACTTACTCGTACTCTACGATTCTTCCCTCATTATCAGTCACCAAACTGAGACACTGGATGAGACTTAACATTCCAGTTCCAGCCTCTGTCGTCCTAGTGATAACCACCAAACCTGGATGACTATCGGGAATCTGCGAAGCAAGGTGTCCACTGACCGATCCAATCTGAGAAAGCTGAAGTTGTCAGACTCATTTCTGGAGACCAGGTGACACCACATATAACCTTGGCTGGATTGAGACAGAAATCCAAGTATCATCTGGCGACGAGCTCCTTCAATGTGTGAACTGGAACACGGGGCTGTGCCCACATTATCATAAGTTCAGCAACGAGGTCAATTAACTACAAGTCCACTGCGACGAAATCGGCTGAAGCTCGGTCGGTTGACAGCAGATGTTCTCTGAAGTGCACATCATCATCGACAGCATGACATCAGTTTTCAAAACCGACGCTTCACTGCCATACAACTGTGATTTACTTGAAAGCCTTATTGTAAAGAAGAGTAAAGGTGGACGAGGGCGGGAGTTGGTGCTAGCTCACCACAATCATTACGAGGTGCCCATGCCTCCAACCGTTTACTCAGGCGACCTGGATAGAAACTGACAACAAGAACGCCACTAACATCAGCTGGCGGCCATATCTTGTAGTGTCTCCAACCAGGCAGAGTGTGGATCACGCGGTCGCCATCCTGGAAGGCAAGTAGCACCGACAACACCCGAGCGTTTTGCGACATCCTTCATACGCCTCTGCCAAGTCAAGGGTTGGTAACCTCTATGTTTACGCCACTCTGAATTGGGCACGGAAAATAGTACCCTCTTCGGCAAACCAACGCAGTTTCCGGTGCTGGACACATTCTTCAAAGGGAGTACCCGTCGCACAACCGAAGACGCGCTGTCTAATTGTATTAATATGGATTCGCCGACACCAACCCGCATGAGCGAAGGTTCTGAGACGATTGTCGAACAGCTGAAAAACTCTCAGTTCCGCTGCTCGAACAGGCCAAGTCTCACAGCCACACAACAAAACAGACCTTGCTGTCCTTGATACAGACGTATCTTGAGATTCAGGGATAAACCATTCTGATGGCATAGGGGTCTCAAATTAGCAGACGCAACCTGAGCCTTGCAGATTCGCGCTTTCACCTCATCCGTCACACTACAATCAGAACTAATACAAATCCCAAGATACGTAAAACGCTCCACAACCTCCAGTACCTCTCCCTGTATATAAGTGGTGTGTTCCGTGACTGTACGTCCACAAGCATTACCTTACACTTTGTGGGTGCAAAGTGCATACCAAGAGACGGGATGACCTTGGTCAGTTTATCCAAAAACACTAGCGCCTTCTCCTCTTTGCACAGGAGAACGATGCCGCCTGCATATTCCAGATCGACAGGGTTTTCTTCACAGGTTATTTGAACACTCGTCTTATTATTCCATCCATCACGAAGCTGGAAAGGAAAGGTGTGCATCCCTGGCATAGACCGCATTGCGTAGGGAACCTTTTGGAGATCTTACTATATACCCTGACACGTCCGGAAGTCCGAAAATACAAGGAGCTCATTACGTTCACAAACTTCCGGGGCATTTTTTGGTGGACAGGCCGACCAACCGAGTCGAATGCGCCTCGGAAATCCAGGAACACTAGAATTATAGACCGCTCATATGTATGGCGTTATTTTAGCACTCGACGGAGTGTAAATATTTGGTCAACGCAACCCCTACCAGACCGGAATCCTTCTTTCTACCCTTAAGTCAGTGTCTCACAAGTCGCCGTAAAGCGACGAAGCAAAAGTGACGTCAACAGTCTCGTTAGTACGGCGATCAAGCTGACACCCCTGCGGTTACTACACTCATTACGAGCCCCCTTTTTTTGGATATGGGCACCATCACCTACTCCACCCAGTTGTCTGGGCCAGACTCCTTTCCCCAAATTCAAGTAAACAGATCAGACAAGCGCTGATTGAGGACTTCACCCTAGTCTTTGAACAATGCGGTTGGGAGGTCATCCGGACCAGAAGCTTGATGGCGCTTGAGAGAACATATTCAATCATAAGCCTCCAAAGCCGTAGGTAGTTCCACTTTCACCGTCCGGGGTTCCACGTCAACTGTGGACCCCAGATGAAAGACCACGGTAACTGCTGTTCGAAGCATTCGACCCACCGGTCGAGGCGTCCCTCTTTATTTAAGATGACCATTCCTTTCCGATCCTTGATGGTTTCGCTCACAGGTCGTTTCCGGGGACCGGTCGCATTGATCAACTGAAATAATCTTCGGGCATTACCGGCTTCCGGGGCCTCTTCCATTTCTTTGGCTTTCTGTGTCCACCATACTTCATGGTCGGCTCGCACGCTCCTTTTCACTGGACGTTTGATAATTCGTCGCACCAGGTCATGTTCGGGACTGGCTAGGATAGTTCTCCGAGATTTAAGCAGTGCCACCGTTCGATCTGATATCAAGTGCTTGCGCGCACCTGGTGGTGCCGTACCACAGGCGCAATTCCCATCTGTCTCTCTTTCAATTGCTAGGCGATTTGCCCGCGCACCATACGCGGCCCCGGAAAACATAGAGAGAAGCGAATCCGGACGAGCGCGTGTTCCTACGGAACAAGTCGCCACATGTTCCAGGCTCTAACCCGGAGGACCGTATCCGTCAGACGCCTAACCACCGACCAACCCGGTATGAGTCTGTGAGTGACGCGAACACTCCCCAGGAAAGCCCCATGGATCGCTCAGGTGCGGAAACCGTCACACAACGGTTTCCTCGTGAGGACCTCATCTTTCATCTTTCAGCTGTAGCACCCTTTCGGCGCCTAGCTGCCATGCCGCATGAAGGAAGCACGAGGGCTGGTATACTGTCAGGTTACCCAAGCCAAGACAGGGGAAGTCGAAAAGCAGAGGTCGTGTTCGAACCACGGACCATCCGGTCAGTAAATTCACGCTCTAACCACTTGGTCCATCTCGTGAGGACCTCGTTGGACATCAAAACCTTTCCTTGATAGGGTGATTGCCACAAGCGCTGATTGAGGACTTCACCCTAGTCTTTGAACAATGCGGTTGGGAGGTCATCCGGACCAGAAGCTTGATGGCGCTTGAGAGAACATATTCAATCATAAGCCTCCAAAGCCGTAGGTAGTTCCCCTTTCACCGTCCGGGGTTCCACGTCAACTGTGGACCCCAGATGAAAGACCACGGTAACTGCTGTTCGAAGCATTCGACCCACCGGTCGAGGCGTCCCTCTTTATTTAAGATGACCATTCCTTTCCGATCCTTGATGGTTTCGCTCACAGGTCGTTTCCGGGGACCGGTCGCATTGATCAACTGAAATAATCTTCGGGCATTACCGGCTTCCGGGGCCTCTTCCATTTCTTTGGCTTTCTGTGTCCACCATACTTCATGGTCGGCTCGCACGCTCCTTTTCACTGGACGTTTGATAATTCGTCGCACCAGGTCATGTTCGGGACTGGCTAGGATAGTTCTCCGAGATTTAAGCAGTGCCACCGTTCGATCTGATATCAAGTGCTTGCGCGCACCTGGTGGTGCCGTACCACAGGCGAAATTCCCATCTGTCACTCTTTCAATTGCTAGGCGATTTGCGCACGCACCATACGCGGCCCCGGAAAACATAGAGAAGCGAATCCGGACGAGCGCGTGATCGGAATCGAAACGACCGGCAGTCGGTTATTCATCCAGGGCGCCCACAGCTAAACAGGAGGACGATTAGGGTTCTCAACTAAAGCCTTTGGCTCAAAAGCCTGACCGCAAGGCTGCGGTGCATGGCGGGGAACGCAAATGCATTACCGTTCCTACGGAACAAGTCGCCACATGTTCCAGGCTCTAACCCGGAGGACCGTATCCGTCAGACGCCTAACCACCGACCAACGCGGTGTGAGTCTGTGAGTGACGCGAACACTCCCCAGGAAAGCCCCATGGATCGCTCAGGTGCGGAAACCGTCACACAACGGTTTCCTCGTGAGGACCTCATCTTTCAGCTGTAGCACCCTTTCGGCGCCTAGCTGCCATGCCGCATGAAGGAAGCACGAGGGCTGGTATACTGTCAGGTTACCCAAGCCAAGACAGGGGAAGTCGAAAAGCAGAGGTCGTGTTCGAACCACGGACCATCCGGTCAGTAAATTCACGCTCTAACCACTTGGTCCATCTCGTGAGGACCTCATTGGACATCAAAACCTTTCCTTGATAGGGTGATTGCCGCTTGAATAAAATAGACCATCTCACACTCGAATTATACCCCCTTAACCAAGGAGTTGATTTTATGTAGACTTCTCAACACTTTTAATGCAGAAATTCCCTTCTGTTGAGAGTATATCAGCCAGATGTCCGATATCCACGGAAATGCGTGGCCATGTCACGTATTGAGGAGCTGACTGCGTAAGCCACCGTCGGTTGATCAACGGCGATGTTGACCGGACAGTTTCAGAGAAATTAAGCCAGAAACCCGAATGGCCAGTGACGGAAACTTGTGCCGGCGACCAACAGCCGCCACGTGGAATATCACCCGCTGGAGTCCCATCTAAATTCCACCCAAAATGAAAAAAACAATGTGCTGAAATTAGCATAGCACAGTCGCCGACTGGATTTGCGAGGCCCCTGGAGAAGTAATCTCCCACAAACGTGTTTCATACTTAGTACTACCGGACAATCCTGTGCATGTTACCAGCTTGCCAATTACGGAACGCGATAAGCAGCAACACAGAACGCAGTTTGCTTCATTCTAGCTGCATTAGTTCCGAACCCAACCAACATCGAGTTCGAACGAATCGCGCTGTGCGACCATACGGCACTAAGACACTAAGGTCGACTGTAACCGTGGTTGTGAGCTACTGGGTGGGTGAGTGCAAATACTTCCTCGGGGCACGCTAAGCCGAAGGAAACTACAGAAAACAGGAGGGACAACGTCCCGCGCAGACACCCTAGCAACCCGACATCAAGACTGCCAGCATCTCCCCCGAGAAGTCATACGAGCGATCGACCGATTGGAAGCCGTCCCTTCAAAAGCGCAAGAGTGGAGCAGGACAGATAAGTTAGTTTGACCGGCAATGTGAACCCATCGGCACAGGTAGTGGCCACTCCCAGTAGGACATGCGTCGAGGACGACAGACTGTCAGGGAATAGGTATAAAGCTGCCTTAGAGCTACAGAACGAAGGGTCTCGACCACTTCGCGGCCAGTAGGATAAAAGCACCTTAATTGCTTCAGACAATCGACACACCGGTAAACGGGAAAAACGCCTCGCACACAGAATACGAACCCAGTCAGTTGGGTTTGACAAACAAAATTTTCCCGTTCTTTTAGATTAGTCTGTCCCATCTACTGATTTTCCGTAACTCCACCTATATTTGGGAAAAATGATCGCCAGAACATTACAGAATACGATGAGAAAAAGGGAACGTCATTCGAAACCAATGCTCCGGAACTACACATGTACATTAACGGGGTACAGGCCACCAACCGCGAACCTACTATGGTTGGTGGCATGGAACATCTCCAACTATATTTAATCCAGCTGGCTTGATGCGAAATGAACAAGCCTCCACACTTCGTATGTCCCAAAGCACCCGCTGCATCAGAGTGAAAAGAATCAGGACCACAAAGCATTTATTGGCATACTGGACCGAAGTACGTGAAAGCTACGCATTTCACAGATATGACCAGTAAATAAAAACCTAGTAAAAATAACATTCCACGAAAGGGGGAGCGGGGTAATATTGGATTTTACTTAGTCTTGCCTGGAAACATGGTCAGAGTTACGTCGGACTGCATACCTGTTGCCTTGGTTGCATTTTCTAGGCACTCCGAACGCAGCGCATGACCATGAACGGTTAACAGGCGAAACGGCTATCTCGGGGTATCAGTGAAGCTATTTAAGGAATCCTTTCGACAACACAGTTTGGTTTGAGTTCCAAAAAAGTAACCTGGAATAAACGCTTGTGGGCATTGCTGAACTGTGTGTGTGTGTGTGGAAAGGGTGCTAAGCACATACAAACGAACTCAGACAGTATATCGTGTGCATATATCTGCCTATTCCATTGCCCCCAAAACTAACCCGATAACTGGTTGATCAGGAGACCAACAGTAAGCATGCCATTCCCCGATGCTAATAACGTTTGGACCATGTGGTGTTGTTTATGATGCATATGACTCTTCTAGTCCAGTGTATACAAGAGCTACTGCACACCGCCTGCCAACATGCTGCAGGTCTCTGGCTAACCCTCTAGGCAAGTGCGTACATCTTTGGTGAGTATGCTAAATGCGATTCTAAGGGTCCTTCTTAAAAGGACGGAACAGGAGCACGCTGGAGCGCATTCAAGGACGCTTGCACATTCCGGTCTGCTTCCGAAGACCCATCTTCATGTGATCAACTGCCAGCGACTCCGTGAGCACCAGCGCGGACTGAAACAACGAGAGGCAAAAAAGTAATTTAGAGAAGCGGAAAGAATATTGAATTCAAGTTTGGCCAACTCAAAACGAGGAATTAAACGATACTAGCCTATTGTCTGAACTCGAATACTCAGCCCCTCAAAAACGAATCGGGCAGGAGAAGCTATATTCGATACAACCAAGATGTTAGTGTTGATAGAATCACAAAACTATTGACCCAATCTCCAGCAGGATACGAAAGCAGATCACAGGATTATAGCTGTCTCAAATACTAACAATTTGAAACACGTTTTCCTGAATAGAGCCATCGTGCTATCCACTCTCGTGCTGCTTGACAACACCCACAGATTTAGCGAGGTCATAGAACCTTAGCTCGATGTAGCCTCCCGACAAGGAACGCAAGCTAACGAGGCAAAGTTCAGGTGTTCGAGTGTCAGACGGAAAAAAATATCCATCTGAACACCCCCATCCGCCGACTGTGGTGTTTCAGAAATCAATACGCAATTATGTGATAATTGCCTTCACAACCACGGTGCAAGAGAATCGTGTGGGGGTGCAACCCAGCCCATATTCGGAGTCCCGTCTCCGAATTTTGTGAGCAGGATAAATTTTAACGACGGTTTTCAGATGTATGCGTCTTTATGGTCAATGAATGACTGAAGTAACATACTTCACCTAATTAATTTGAAACAGAATAACCACACCTAAACAAACCGAAACATAAAAGACAGCAGAAGTGGGTACTCCAAGACACCAAGAAACACGCATCCGACCAACTGAAGCAAACTTCTTTCCCATAATAAGCGTTCGGCTGTAACATCGTTTCGGTGCCTAGCTGCCATGCCACCCCAAAGGAAGCATGAGGGCTAGGATACCACCAGGTTGCGCATTTTTTTCCTGCATTGTAAGCTCACACCAAAGTGGCTAGCGTGACAGCTTAACTTCACAAGCGTCCGTTGTGCACGTCATGAAGACTCGACCTATAACCGCAATCCGAGCGTCATCATCACAAGTAATGTACACTGCGACGCTCAGTGCAGACAGTGACGTGCTACGATCTAATATTATTATTGTAATCTAAAGTACGGCCAATAACCGGGACGGAGGTAGGATAGCTAGTTGCATGAGGGTCCAGACTACCAACGTTATCGGCGGGAGACTCTGCAGAAGCTGTGGTACCAGTTTGGGAATAAGGCTGTGCACACCTGGTCACATGGCGGCTTTGAGTCTGGCTTCACATGAATCACAGCATGATACTGTCCACAAGAAAATGACGGTAAGGCTCCACTAGCAGACTTCTATTAGCACGAACTATGAAGCTGGTGAGATCCACCGCCAAACCTTCAAGGAACGATGTGGCTCCCAATGGAAGCACAAGCAAGCAGACTTCTGCCACAAACCGTTTCAACGGTCACGTGTCAGGATACCTCTGAAGGGGGTAATCAACAATGCTGTGCGGTTAGTGACCGAGAACAGTACTACGGTTTGGAGGCGATGATATATTCCTTTCTAGTGGTGTTCCACACCTGGACGCTAGTAAAATACGCAATGGCCAGACGCGTCCCCCGACAGGTGACCGCGAACCTGAGCAGACGCATATTAAGTCATTCCTCGTATCTGTCAACGCGGACGCTATTACATCGACAGTGTCAACTGGTGCTCAACCGCTTCACAATCATGAAGAGAGTTTTAAGATGTGGTCTTGTCGAAAGAATCCCTATACTCCCAAAGACGGTCAACAGCATACATCATAAACCTCGCAAAACCATCCTGTACCGCCTTGGAAAAGTCACTTATTCAGCATTCTTTACAAACTCCAATCAACTTAGTCCCAGTGTGTGTTAGCTGGTCGGTCCAGCAAGTTGTAGCGATGGAAAATGAGGTCCGTTGCCTTCTGCAGAAGGGAAGGCCGCGCTGACCCGAAAGGTTGCGACTTGACGATGACCACTTCCATTTCGCGTTACCGCCAACGATTTATCAACAAGTGACCTGACATCTGGAAACATTTAGGGTCAAACCAAAGGTTACGCAAGGGCTAACCCTGTGACACTCATTTAGGGCGCTAAGATGATGTGAACAAACGAGTGCCTTCCTTAGCTTGATTTAATCATGTCTTCAACTGTCAACCCCCGTTGCCGTTTACACGGCCAGAAGAAAAGCGAACCTACCAACAAAATTGAGACCTTTGTTCCAAAGGAGGAAAAGAGAGCAGGAAAGTCCAGAGTAGGATTTTACGATGAAGAGGCAGAGCACACATGAAATTATCACCTGTTATTCCATCTGGAGACGTTTCTAACGACATGCGGTTATCCGAACAATGTGGCCCAAGCGCAACACTCTCAAGACGTCATTCTTTGGCCGGATTCAGGGTTCATTACAGAGTGAAAAAAAAGAACCACAGCAAACGCATATTGAAATCTCGGTGCGATCATGTGTGACGGCATGGCCAGTATTTATTCGTTTTTCTACAGCCGGATGCTTCCAAGTACCGACAAAGCGGCTTGTCAGGTGTAAGTCACCCACTGCTACGGCATCACCTGCTTCGAATACGCACGGCAAATGGCATCAGCTTCGATGGCGATTACCACCAAGGAACCCTTCGTGGGGTCTACCTTCAACAGAGTGAAACACCCAGACATCTAGTTGGCAGTGAGTTCAAGATCGCCCGGTGCGGTCGATCAACTGAATGGAACACAACTTACACAAACGCGTGCAGACCACAGGCCAGTCGATACAACTTGGTGAATCACCGTTAACAGAACCTGTCATTAAGCGCACTTGTCACCGAAAAATTTCATGCAGAACACGGTCGATTCGAGATGTGTTCTTCGACTTTCCCAAACTGACCTCGAAGAAATCAACAAAATTGCACGAGAATGTAGTGTTGTAGCGGCCTAACTATTAAAGTATAACGGGCCTTGCAGGTCGTAAGTCATACCGAAACAGAAAGAACGCTATGCAATACGAACGACCAGCAACTTTCCGGTTTGTTTATTCGGGTGTTGGCGGGATAATTAGGAAGCACCCAAGTGATAATAATCCATGTGAACGGGGACACCATAAGCCTTCATCTCTAAGTGAAGAAAAACACCACCGCTTGTCCGTCATATTTTTCATTTCAGACTCTCATGCTCATGCATCCTAACACTCTGGACCTAGTCCTCTTTAAATGGTTTCAATAAATTATGGATTCCCAAGTTCATGTTAAATTTGCGGGACTACCCAACTGAACGTGACTACCTCCAGCAAAAAATGTTCCTGACGTAAACCAAAATGACGAGGGCATCCCAACTACATGTAGACGCGTGGCGCTGATACACTTTTAGGGGACTAATTTGGAAGGACACCAGAAGTGAAGAGGGGTTTATCGCATGCTCACTGGTAACATACGAATGGAGCACCCAGCAAGTGTCCCTCATAATAATTGGAATGCTGCTTTTGTCCTGAACCAAACGCATCTGTATCGAGACTTTTCATTAAACACCGTAAGTCTTGGCGGGGGGCTGTGGTCCAAGTACCCGAAAGGGACCTCCAGGAGTTAGTTCCTGCAACCCAAGCCCAGGAATCGTCAACCTGATTCTGCACTAATCAACGGAAGCACGAATTACGGGGCAACCGAAACCTCTGGCCGTCCTGGATAGGTCGAAATGGTTTACTTCGTGGAATGAGAAATCTATGCGACGTGATAACCTTGTTAACAATGTAAAACTACCGTTCCTACCCGGAAGCAGAAACCTGGGAATTTTCGAACAATTGCTTGACCTACCATCGACAGATGACAACCCAGAATGATTTGTTGCCCTTCCACACACCACAGCTACTCACTTTCACTCATCTGCGAGATATTGGGGTTCATTCGTTGACCGCGGATACAGACCTAACCCAACCTCTCAAGTGCTGACGATTAACCGCGTCCTCCATTGCAGCCGAAGACTGCTAATAGAGATTTAGTCCCAATGAGAAGCCATCGGAAACCAACCAAAAGTCATCATCATCAAGGACAGCAACATCAGTGTTGCTACTGGTGCTTCACTGCCTTACAACCATAAGGTTTGTACATTATATATACG